AAGAGGGGGAATCAAATTGGTGGCGTAAAACCAGTCGACACGCCAATCCCTCACAGAATCAATCAGGTCATAGTCAAAGAACTTGCTTTTAAGACCCTGGCGAAACTGAATCCCGTAGGCACCAAGAACGCTGGTGTCTTCGCGGCGGGGTTGGGGTTTCAGACGAAAGAAGTAACGAAAGAGAGAAAGAGAAGAGAGAATTCCAAGGAAAGTTTCACAAAGATGAACAAAGACAGAAAGATGAAGGACAGCATTGGGAGCAAGATGATTCAGGCTAATCCCAAAATAGTTGAGAAAATGATGAAGGAAGGCGGAAGCAGGAAGGCAAAGTCCAGCACGGATAAAGGAGACGAAAAGAATGATCTCACCAGGACCTGGAGCAGGGACCCGATGCTCACCTGGAGCTCTCCATTCAGCAATGTCCTTGCTCTGGATCAAGCCATCGCTGACAAGCTCGCGAAGCTAGTCTTCAGTCGTTGTTGGAGCCGGCCAAACCTTCTGGGCAGCCTTCATGGCCATGAACTCTTGGTTCTCGATCATGGAAAGGGATGACTCCTCATCCACGAAGGCTGCCTGGGACTTGCTCGCGGTTTTCTTCCTACCCATGTGCTAGCGGAAGCGAAAAGGCACTAGGGAAAGACGACGGCGCTCAGGTGACGGCAACAATGGCGGCGGTGGATTTCTGAAAGCTAGGGTTTCAAGACAAAAGCGGAGCAGTAGAGAAGAAGACGAAGGGCCTTTAAATAGTTTTTACAGCAGTAAAACGCGGCCCACCGGGCCCGTTAAAGCACGGTGTGAGAGCGCAACGGTCCATTTACTGACACAGCTAAAATGACGGAAGGCACAAATCCACATAACGGTATAATTCAACGGGCAGATTTTGGACTTATCCATCCAGCAAAACGGCAGAGTTATTATATTGCTACAGAAAGAACTCATCAGCCATGAAGCAACGAAAGGTCACCTCACAAGGAACATAACAACCCGGATCTTACAGAAAGAACTCGGGACTCTCATAAACAAAAGGGACATCAGCAGAATAAAGAAGGACAACTCAGAAGACAAGATTCTTTCCATTACAAATGACTTCAAAAGATACAAGATTACACATCTTATAAGACCCAACGAACTCGGTACTACGACAGGCAAGATAGCAAAAAGGAACCCGGAAACAACTAGGCTCTGGAACGACTACGTGTTCCAAATTGCTACTCGGTAGAGCAAACCGCACTCGGCTACACTGTTTTCTTCAATGGAAGAAAGCAGCACATCAAGGCGAAGATCAGCGGCATGGTAGGACAACGTGGATCAAGAGGAGCCTGCAGCATCTGTCTACCCAAGTCCGATGTGATACCGGATATGGTGTTGATCTGCACCAGACAGTCTCAGGGCAGGCGTCGAGGATCAACCTAGAACTGCTGGATGAAGGAACGTATCCCACATCACAAGACTTCCTCCAGCTACAGCCACGAACTTCCCGGAGCAATGCCACTGTGGGATTAGTCTACCTCTAATCCCTATCACAAGACTTTCTCCAATTACGACAAGATGTACAAGAACTACAAAATACGTCCGGGGGCTGTTCTACTTCACAAACTATCATATTCATGGCTACGGAAATTGCAGACCCCACAACTAAGTGCTCGATGAATCGAAACAACACACAAGGAGGATATTTATAGACCAAAGAAGCGGTGCACATGGACCGGGAGCACCAGCGGAACAAACCTAACAAAGGACACGGTGAAAAGATAGAATTCAATGAAAGAGAACTCAGGCGTGAAGGAACAGTACTCAACAACAAGCATATTCGGAAGAATATACCAACACTGTACACCCCGTGAACAAAAGACATTTACACTCAATCACCACTATACGACTACATCTAACAACAGCAGACTCTATATTTGAAAGCAGCAGACTCTACATCTGAAAGCTCCAGACTCTACATCTGACAACAGCAGACTACCAGAGAATATACCAAGATTCTGTATCCGAGTTCTTTTTAAAAATGCTCGGGGGCTACAACAGGAGAAGTTTTTAGTTCTTTGAACAACTCGGACTCAAGACCCTCCAACTCTTTGTTCCAAATAGCAAGAGGCTCGGGGGCTACACTTAGTGAGTGCCCTTTTTTCAAAAAGCGCACATCACTCAAAAGACTTCTTCAAGACAAGAGTTGTAAAAACAACACAGGATTCAAGACTCTCCAACTCTTTGTTTCCAAATAACAAGAGGCTCGGGGGCTACGCTCAGTGAGTGCACTTTTTTCAAAAAAAGCGCACATCACTCAAAAGACTTCTTCAAGACAAGAATTCACACGTCAACAGGAAGGCCACTTTAAGACAACACGATATATCTGAGTTCTTTTTATAAAGAACCCGGGTATACCCGGCTACTCTTCGACAAAGGATCAGAGCAATTTCAAGACAAGACCCTCCAGCTACTTGTTCCAAATAGCAAGAGGCTCGGGGGCTACACCCAGCTGGATGCGCTTTTTTCTTTAAAAAGGCACGCACCACTCGAAGATCCCAGAAAGCACTACATGGTTTTACTCAAGAAAGCACTCGGACGACGCTTGTTTCTACTCGGCAAGACCTGAAGGAACAAGACGAAGCTTCCAGAGCTCAACCATGAAGTGCTCGGGGGCTTGTCGATGCGGGACCCATAGGATACCCCGTAAGGAATAGAGAAGATCTAGTCTAACTAGGTTTTCTTTCATGTAATCCTAGTAGTAGTATTATTCTGTAATCCTACCAGGAACTCTCATTGTAAACCGACTAGAACTCTGACCTCCTGACTGTATAAAGGAGGGCGGGGTTCTAGGAGGACGGGGGACTTTATACAATAACAACAACACACAATCAATCCAACGTAAGGCTAACGCCGACTGGACGTAGGGCTGTTACTCGATCACGGTCGAGGGCCCGAACCAGGATAAATCGACTGTCTCGTGCGTTAACCGTCGAGTTCTGCATATGCTGAAGCCCGAATAAACTGCCCCGGAGACCCCGTGGCAGGCTATCGGTGGTGAAACATCGACACTGACATAGAGAAAAAAAAACTTTAGGTGCCTACATGATATTTTACATGGCCATTTTACGTGTTTAATATATATGACAGCTTGTATTTTATTAGAAGAGCATCTCAATTATATAACATATTTTAATCGAGTCAGCTAACGTACATACTCAATTATGTAACGTGTTAATAACATGTATAATTTAGATCGTCGACGTTCACGTTCGTGTTAGCGTGTAATATGTTTTACATCGTCAACGTTCATGATTCAGTTAACCTGTTAATTAGATGTTGATGTTTTTTTTATGTATATAACATATTTTTTAACTGAGTATGTGAATTAAAAAAAGATTATTTGAATTTGCATTCAAGATATACTGTATGCTTTATCAGTTATTTTAGTAGGATAAAATATTCATGCACAGTCACAGAACGGAAAAAGGAAAAAGGAAAAAGGCGAGCACAAGAAAAGGTGCGGCAAGGTGCTGATTAGGAGGATTTGATTACATCTCTTTTTCTTTTCATAGATTAATTAATAATTAATTCAAAAAACTATAAAAAAAATTAAGGGATTAGATTTATTTGAGGTACTACCTCCTAGTAAAAAGAGTAACCATAGTATTGCTCATTAAAAATACTTAGTAAAATGCTTGTTTAATTTTGCTATGAAAATACTTAGTAAAACTATATGTTATTTCTCCGTTTCATATATAATAATTCTGAGTTAGGCTATATTTGGGCCAAAACCATAGCTGGGCTTTGCTGTTTGGGGATGGAAAAGTTGCATCTTCTATCGGCCGTTGAATGTCAAATGGAGGGCATTGGGCATGGAGTAAGTCACCGGTGACTTTTTTTCGACGAGTTAGAGAATCTGAGCCCTACTTTTGCTACCACCTCCTCCAGATTCAGCTCGTCGTTTCTCTTGTCAGCTCCTGCTATTGAATCGTCAACATGCTCCAAAATGGCTGGCAAGTGGCAACAATCAACATGCTCATCAACAATTACGGGCGTGGTACCACCATCGAAATCTGAGCCACGTTTAGTTGGGTGCGCCGCCAAACGCACTGTAGCTACAAGTGTTGTTTTGTTTTTATTTGATAATAATTGTCCAATCGTTGACTAATTAAGTTTAAAATGTTCGTTTCGTAAAGTACAACCAAACTGTGTAATTAGTTTTTGATTTCATCAATATTTAGTACTCCATGCATATACCGTAAGTTTAATATAATGAGGAATCTTCTTTTTATATAGTGTTAAAGTTGAAAATTTGGTGGAACTAAACAGGGCCCTGAGCTATTTTACTCGAACCACTAGCAGACATTCCATGGCCCCCATCGGAGATCAGATGGTGCATGTTCATGTTGCCAACCCTACAGTAAAAACGCACGACTACCTTTTAATTGTACCTTGTACTTTATTTTTTTTCCCTACGCAGAGGGTCGTGCCACCAGGCACCAGCCACCTTCTAGAAGCCCTACAAGAGCAACAAAAGTTAAAGGAAACCGGCGCAGGCCGAAGCAGAGGACTATGGGCCATACCGACCCGCAGTCGCGTCGCAGGCAGACCCGACCAAATCCACTCGAATTCGCCCACATTTTCTGCCCTTTTTTCTACCTCGGCACATGACACGATACGCCATATATACCCGGATAAAATACTGCCCCGGGACGTTTCAAAACTCCCACGGCTGCCTTCGCGCAAGGCAAGACCGTCCCGCTACTCCCCCCCACCCCCACCACAGAGGTGGAGCGGTCCGCGGTGCGCGCTCGCCGCTCGGCGCTTCGTCCCCAAGGCACCGCGGACGCCGAGTCCCCCGCATAAATCCCCCGCTCCCAACTTGTTGCTCCACCGAATCACGGCCAAATCCCCCGCCCCATCAGGCCATCACCCCCCCCCGCGCTCACGCACCAAACCCCACTCCGTTCCTCACTGCAATCCACCGCCCAACCGATCCCGCCCGCCCCACCGACCTCTTCGGCGCAATGACGGCCGTCGCGGCGCCGCCGCCGAGGCAGCTGAGCCTGGAGGACCTCAAGGCGGTGTCCGTGCTCGGGCGCGGCGCCAAGGGCGTCGTGTTCCACGTCGTGCACGCCCCCGGCGGGGAATCGGACGGCGACGGCGAGAGCGGCGCCGCGGCAGCGGCCATGGCGCTCAAGGCGGTCTCGCGGGAGGCCGCGCGGCACAAGAAGGCGGCCAGCGGAGACGGGGACGGCCACCGCCGGATCTGGTTCGAGCGGGACGTGCTCCTGGCGCTGCGCCACCCGCTGCTCCCCTCCCTGCGCGGCATCCTCGCCACCGACGCCGTCGTCGGCTTCGCCATCGACCGCTGCGGCGGTGGGGACCTCAACTCGCTCCGGCGGCGGCAGACCGAGAAGATGTTCTCCGACTCCGTCATACGGTACGTCTCCGTCCAACGGTTCATCAACGGCCTAACGAAACCACGCGTCTCTTGCGCGCACCTGCACGAGACGAAGGAGCCAGGAGCTGCCTCACAATTTGGTCGCTAATTGGGCGCAGGTTCTACGCGGCGGAGCTGGTGCTGGCGCTCGAGTACCTGCACAGCCTCGGCATCGTGTACCGGGACCTCAAGCCGGAGAACGTCCTCATCCAGGACAGCGGCCACATCATGCTCGTCGATTTCGACCTCTCCACGCGGCTCCCGGCGCCGCCGCAGGAGCCGGACGCGCCGGTCACCAGTCCCAAGCCGGCGCCTCCGGTCACCGCGCCGTCGCCGAGCCGCGGGAGAGCAAGGAAGCCGGCGGGCGCCGCCCTGTGCTTCCCATTCCGCACCGGCAGCGCCGCGAAGCCTGCCGCGAAGCCGGCCACGGACTCGCCGTCGCCGCTGTCCACCTCGCGGACGGCATCCTCCTCGTCGTCGTCCTCGACGGCGACCACGGCCTCCTCCTCAGCGGCCTCGGCCGGCGCGCGGACTCCCGCGAAGTCCAACTCGTTCGTGGGGACGGAGGACTACGTGGCGCCCGAGATGATCGCCGGGCGCGGCCACGACTTCGCCGTGGACTGGTGGGGCCTGGGCGTGGTGCTCTACGAGATGCTCTACGGCCGCACGCCGTTCCGGGGGCAGAACCGTAAGGAGACCTTCTACCGCGTCCTCGCCAAGCAGCCGGAGCTCGTCGGCGAGCAGACGCCGCTGCGGGACCTCATCGCCCGCCTCCTCGAGAAGGACCCCGAGAAGCGCATCGGCGCGCGCGGCGTCAAGGCCCACCCCTTCTTCCGCGGCGTCGACTGGGACCGCATCCTGCAGGTTGCGCGCCCGCCGTTCATCCCGACGCCGCCGCCGCAGGACGAGGACGGCGACGAGGCGCTTGACGTCGAGAAGGTCGTCCGCGAGGTGTTCGCGTCCAATGACGCCGAGGCAGCAAAGGCGGGCGAGGGCGGGAAGGCCTCGCCTGTGGCAGACGGAGGCCGTGTCGGCGGCGACGGCGACGGGAGGAGAGATCAGTCCAAAGATGGTGATTTCTCCGTGTTTTTCTGAGCTATTTCTTTTATTTTGATTTGTTCTTTCTTTTTCTTTTTTTTTTTCAAAAATAGCTACTGCTAGTAGTTGTTTATGGAGTATTTCTTCTCCTTAAGGATTGTAGTATGAACATGATGGGATTTAGCAGCTGGGTTAGGAGTGAGTACGGCGCAATGGCCGGTGGAGTACATAAATTAAAGAGGTGCTCCTCTTCAATGGGGGTATAGCCACTATAGTTTTTTTTTTTTTGTTGCATGCTTTGCTTGGTACATAATGAATAATGATAGCGCAGTTGTTTGCTCAAATGTGAATACTTTTCTTTATCATAAATGCTATACAACACATGTATGTTTTAGCAAAAAAAAACATGAATTTTTTTTATCTCTTCTCCTCTCTCTTTCTCATCAGCGACCAAAAGAAACTGTAACTCACGTCCGTACTCTCCACCAAAGACGCCGGTGAGCAGGCCGCATACAGTTGGCTCGGCAGCATCGCGCTCCAGCACCTTGAGCTCCTCGGCCCCTTGTGTCCCAACGCCATGGCGTGCACGTGCTACCTGACGCCCGAGTGCTGCGTGACGCCCGAGGTACACCACGTACGATGATAGCTCGCCGGACGCCGGCCGTAGCAGCGAGCAAGAGCGAGCGCCGAGCCACCGAGAACATGAGGGCGGTGAGGACGGGCGCTATCGACGCTCAGATAAGATGGGCCAACGCCATGAGGGCGAGCAACCTGGGCACCGGCGGCGGCTACCTGCAACGACTGCGACCTGCGGCGGTGGCGGCAGCGGATCTGTGATTTGTCCTTCCTTAGAAAAAAAAATTATTTCCTGTGATTCGTGGATCTGTGATATTGTGATTGTCTAAAAGTAGAAGAAGGGTGGATGTTGTTAGATCTTAATCTTATGGTGCAAAAAAAAATTCATGTATTAGAATTATATAAAACACATGATTGTGTAGTAGATAATCTCTTCTCTATAGCGTGCAGCCAGATTCGAGCTGTTGAATTTTTATACTTGTAGTACTAAAAGCATTTGATTTTATTATTTCTAAAGGTTGATGCTAAAGCATACAATGATCAGAAGCGAATGTAATTCTTCTTCTTGTGGAAGTATGGTACAATAATTTCTCGTTTCTATTTCTACTAGAGTTCCATAAGTAATTCCTAGTAGTATGAAGTTGTGCATTCTAAACAGTGTCAAACTAGGGTCCAGTTTAGTTGCAAAAAATTTTGCAAAATTTTTCAAGATTCCCCGTCACATCGAATCTTTGGACGCATGCATGAAACATTAAATATAAATAAAAAATAAAATTAATTACACAGTTTAGATGAAAATCCACGAGACGAATCTTTTAAACCTAATTAGAGTATGATTGGACACTAATTACCAAATAACAACGAAAACTATTATAGTGTCATTTTGCCAAAATTTTTGATATCTAAAGAAGGGCTAGGCAGCTGAGAAATCTACGCAATCGAATTCCAAACCCAGGCAATGCCCATTGGGCATTGGCAGTCAGTGGCTTCAATAACTGTAGAGTACAGACCAAAACCTGCCAAGTTGCCAGGAATGGCGAGGCACCAGCTCGGTAGTCTACTGGCATTTCAAGAGCACTCGAAATTACCGCAAGCACTGAACTGAGGCCCCGTTTAGTTGCAGGCCGATTTGGCGCCGCCGGAATCCCGTAACACTGTAGCGCACTGTAGCATAATAATTGTCCAATCGTTGACTAATTAGATTTAAAACGTTCGTCTCGCAAAGTACAACCAAACTGTGCAATTAGTTTTTGATTTCGTCAACATTTAATACTCTGTACATGTACCACAAATTTAATGTGATGGAGAATCTTCTTTTTGCATGCCAAAATTAGAAATTTAGTGGAACTAAACAAAGGGTCACTGAAGCACACACATGCGGATGCTGCTGCCTTCCGGGGTCCGGGCTCTCTCGGTGGTGCAGCAGGTTCGAGCACCAATTGGCTGGCTGCCTGGCTCTGCTCATCGGCACGCGGTTTGGTTAGTGCCAGGCACCACCATGCTGCTCTGCACCCCCTGCCGCGCGCGCACCGCAACGGCTCGCCGATACAATGCAAAACGCAAGAAGACCAAGGTGGCCGGAGTCGCAACTCCCTGAAGCCCTCGGCGTCAGACTTGTCGATGCCCAAACCGCGTAAGGCCCCGTTTAGATGCGATTTTTTTTTTTTTTTTTTTAGCTACTGTAGCACTTTCGTTTGTGTTTGATAAAAATTGTTCAATTATGGACTATTTAGGCTTAAAAGATTCGTCTCGCCAATTACGGACAAACTGTGCAATTAGTTATTCTTTTTAGCTACATTTAATGCTCCATGCATATGGTGCAAGATTTGATGTGATAAAATTTTTTGAAATTTTTTAGATTTTAGATGGGATACATGGCCTAAACCAGCCCAGGTGCCGTCCTTCAGCGGCGGTGTCAAGAATAGACGACGGAATTGTAGATCGCCACGCCACCTGCTCCCCTAGGCTAGCCCGGAATATTAGCACGGCAGCAGATAGCAGCAAGTGCATGCCATGACAATGGCGTGATGCCCCTGAATCGAATCGAATCGAATATATCGTCGTCCCGAGGTCACCAACTGTTCCTTCGCCACAGCCACAGCCCACATGGTGGTGACTGGTGACGCCGTCGTGGCGATGATGGCATTGTGCCACCGGCCACCGCCCATCGTCCCACGACCTGCGCGTGTGTCGTCGATCGTCATGGGGTGCGTGCGTTATCCTATTCGGCGTCCCGTGCCGTGACTCCACCCCGACCGATTCGGCGTCCCTGCGCTCACGGCCGGCGATTCTTCTCTGCCTGCCACGGATTTGGAAAGGTGGCAAACCTCTGCGCGGACGCCGCCTGCCATGCCAAGGAGTGCTTGCATGCCAGGACATGTTGCTCCCATTTCTCATGGGCCCTGCAATAATCTATGATAGCTCGATTGACGGTTCTTCGTGCTCCCTCCGTCCTAAAACATGAGAGCAAAACTTTCTCAACTTTAATTAGATTCGTAGAAAATACGTGATAACATTTATATTTCTAAATAAGTTTATTATAAAAATATATTCGACGATCTATCTAATGATACTAATTATGTATTATAAATATTAATTTTTTTATATATTTGGTCAAAGTTAAACGTGTTTTATTTTTTGGAAAATGAGAATGATATCTATTTTGGGACGGAGGGAGCCGTACGTATGCTTCCGGTTCTTGCTTCTACTCTTCATTCAGATCTGGCAATGCTAAGTTTCCATTTATTCTGAATTTTGCATTCTTCTAATGTGTACGTATATATTTGGATGTAACATAGGAGGAGTAATCCTTATATAACTGCTCCACTTCCAGCTCCTGCTCTTTTAGAGCAACTCCAACAGACGGTGTATATTTTGTCTTGGAGTCTAAATTTAGATTGTTTTACGAAAAACAGGACTCCAACAGGTATTGTATCCAGTAATCTAAAATAAGAAGCCATGTATCCCGCACTTCTCGCTATCTAGAAATAGAATGTCGTGGCCGCTCGCTATTCCTCTTCCTTGCGTCAATTTCTGTTCGGCGCTCCCATTCTTGCATGGATTTCTGTTCTCGCTATCCAGAAATAGCATGTTTTCAAATATACAAGAGGCAAAATAGCTAGGTTGTTGTAGAGTTATCTTTTTTAGACTTTTCTATTTTACACCATGACTAAAACAAGTAATTTGGCTATTAGTTTTAGATGAACCCTTAGAGTTGCTCTTATATACTCTTATTATATACGCAGCAAGTTAGCAACAGAGCATTATTAACAAGTTGACTGCGACATGCCTATACGTACGTAGTACAATACCCGTACGTTACGTAGCACGTAGCAGTAGTAGCCTATTCGGAACGGAGCATCTCGGCTGGATCATTCTCTTCTCCAGGTCTTGTCGCCGTCCCCTGACGTCAGATGGGCTCGTCGGTTACCGCTGCACCGGTTCGCTCCATCAGATCGGATCAATCATCTCTATAATAATAGGCCTGTTCGCTTTTTTTCAAATTTCAAACCAAACCAAACCAAAAAATTCAAACCAATTCGAATATCAACTGGTTTATAAAAAAAAACAATCAAGCGAACAGGTGGACTCCAGGCAGAGGAGAGAGGACACCGCTCTCTGACGTTGCCTCGAGGACCCCGATTCTGCGCGCCTAGATGCTGCAACCGCACCCTGCTACCGTCCAAGGCGATGGTGATGCCACTCCCGTGCACGTACGCGTCCGACAAACGTCGGAGGGGACCGTGGCCGAGCGGCGCCGCGGTGGTACCGTGGTAGAGATGTGGATTTTTTTTAAATAAATAATGAATAATTTTAAGTTACCCCCCCCTCCCCTAAAAAATATAACTATAAAAAATATGCCAATTAAACTAATTTAAGTTGACCAAATCTATAATGCATAGTTTTAACATTTATATCTACAATAAAAATTTAATATAATATATTTTATAATTAACATACTGATACTTATTAGTACCATGAATGTTCGTACTTTTTTAATATAACTTTAGTTAAAATTTAAATTATTCCACTTTTCGAAAAACAAGAATTGCTTCTTTTCTGACGAGATGAAGGTAGTGCACATTACTATGATTTTCAACGTCAAGATATAAAAAACTAGTTTCATCACTAAAAATCATAAAATTTAAAACTAGTAATATTTTTATCTTGAAATGTTATATATACGTTGGTGCTTTATTTAGAATCATTTGGATCTTATTTGTTTTATAAAAAAATGAGCACAACTACGAGATGCAATAAAGCCATACCAATAGAAAGTTCAATCTATACCTACTAATAAAGAGATAAAATTTTCTACCATTGTTTTTCATCCATCCATTTTTTCGTTCACCTCCCCCTTAACTACTGGTAGTCGAGAATTTCTTCCATCCAGACTTATACTACCCTAGATAGTTAGGACAAATAGATCTCTCGAATCATTAATAAACTGAATAGGAATAGTAATCCTAATCTTTCTATAT